TGTCTTCCTCGAGTTGCTTCCGGAGATCCTCCATTGTCTCCTTCTTGGGCTCCTTAAGTCCATCTGCATTGGTGGACATCGAGGTATCGGGACGGGGTGGTAATAGCGCGGCACCACTAGGATCCTGCAACGCAGCGGCGGACTTGGTTCTCAGAGGTGATTCGGCAGCATCGTCCATTTCCTCGTCTTCGTCATCATCATCGTAGTCATCGTAATCATCGTCATCGAGCTTTCGGGCAGTCTTGCGTGGGGCGGTGGAAGGGGGTGGCGCATCGTCGACGCGTTCGGGTTGATCTTCGGACGGCTCAGTAGTTTCCCCAGCCGCAGGGTTATCGTCCGAATATCGTCCAGAGAACAGCGCACTTATTTTCGCCTCACTGCGGCGATACAATTCACGGAATTGAGCAATGCGCGGGTCCTCTTCGGGCACGATATCGGCTTCGGATGTCGAGCTGGGGTTCGGTCCTTCGGCGCCAACAGAGCCGCGTATTTGTGGCGTCCGGGAGCCAGATAAAGTCTTCACTAAGCCATTGACTGGTCGGGGAGAGTCCTGAAGGTCATCTGGGGGCCGAATATTGCCCAGAGGCCAGGCGTTGTGGCCGAGCGACATGCTCGCTCCAAAACCCCGGTTCTGGGGCGGGCGAGACTCGATTCTCCGCGATTAGGATTACGGGCCGATCGGACGCGACACAGGGGTCGGAGAAGGGACAAAAGGCATAGAGATAGAAAACACCCCCGGCAAAATTGACTGAAGATGTCGGAACGGCAAAAAATGATAGCGTGGGGGAGAGGTTTGATGAAGAAGGTCCGGGGGAGCTTCATAGGAAGTTTCTCTGTGACGGGGGTGAAGTACAGGGCATGAAGGCGGAGTCAACCGGCAGATTTGATCTCATTGTCACTCTTTTGACTTGCGATCAATTGCTATTGTTCACATCTTGACTTATTTTCAATATATTCTTCTATCTTCTCTTAAGCTTACTGGTGGATTTGTCTGTTCTATATCAAATTCCACTTTGTTGTTGTGAACATCCCCATTGCTCCGCATATGACGCAGGCACCAGTTGGGGCCGAACTCCTCCACATTTGACAGCTCTCCCGAAGACTGGACAATCACCTTCCAAGAGTTCCAGCCAAAAGCTTCTTCTCACTTTTCCCTGACCTGTTTCTCGATCATGCGCATCCGCTACCCTTTCGCAGGTAAGCTTTGGGGAACTATTCTCGATCCGGCGATCTCCCCAACTAACCGCCTCAGGTGCCTTCATCTTCCTGCTCTTCTTAGCTGGCTACATCGGTCTTCTTCCACACAGTGCCTCTTCAACGATACCAACACAGCTACAACCCAATGACAAGTTCCTCCATCTCGTTATCTTTTTCTTGCTCTCGATAACCTTTTACTGGGTCTTGGACACTACCCGTCGGCGCACGCTACACGTGACACTCGTGGTCTGCACATTAGGGCTGGGTGTTGGCTCTGAAGTTGTGCAGGGTTTCCTTCCAAATGGACGAGACTTTGATCTATTCGATATTGTCGCCAATGTTGTCGGTAGTGTAGGCGCTATTGGACTGTGCAGCTGGTACCACCGGCGCATGATGGAACGTCGCCGACAAAGTCGGTATGGCGTGATGGAGGATGGCACTGAGGATGTTGAGCTCGGTGGTGTCGGGAGTTCCCGTCGCGGTTCAGAAGCGATGGGCCCGCAGGAATCCGGTGTCATGAGTCTTGAGCAGGAGGTCGACAACTGGGACGAGAATGCAGTTGATACTTGGGATGCGGCCGAAGGGCAGAGTCCCGAGCGAGAGGCTGCTCCTCCCAGTTATAATGAGACTGGCTCTGTCGGTAGCCCATCGGCTGCAATCCCTGCTGTGGCAAAGCGTATTGATTAAGGCTACTTCTAACCGCAGCGAGTCGTGTACTTTGTGCCTCGGAAAGGAGAAGCCATGCGCTGCATTCAAATGTTGTTTTGCTATACTCTCTGTTCTTATGATGATGTATTTCATGTCTAGGTCTCACGTCGGTATGATACCAATCTCGATTTTTGTGCTCAGCAATGCTGCGTTTATGTTTTGTTGATTTGTTTATATTGTTATATTATGCCTTGATGGAGATGAACGATCTTCTATAGGCAAGCGCATGGTTATTCTAAGGTGATAGGCAAAGAGTGCAAGGCGTTTCTCGTTATTTCCAACGGATTGTACAATGACGTGGATTTACCAGGGATATGTGGGAGGTGCTACATAGCCATGAAGAAAATGCTAATACCCAAGTCTGATCTCCAAAAGAAAACCTATGATAGAAATGGTTACTAGGTGAAAGTAGAATGTCTCAGACCAGTCGGCAACGCGTACAATATCACCAATTGGCTAATATACAGTGACTCGAGGTCGAGACTGACAATGCTAGTCAATAAGCAATATAACTACATCCAAGATAACCAAAGTAACAAAACGGGGGGTATTTCAACAAGAAAGAAAAAAATGTATAGCAGGGGGTTGGAAAGCATAATTCAGAAACGCAAATTCAAAATCAAATAAACACCGGATGCCATGAAGGGATGCAACATAAACATAAACCTCACGTCCAAAGTTCGTAACCACAGGGACGAAAAGCTCAAGATTGAGCGGGCGTCAATTCATTATCAGAAGGAAGCTCCGGTGTACCGGACCGACTTCTCGGCGTATGAGCGCGATCTGGGACAGCTTCCAACTCGGGCTTGGAAGTTGGCAAGTAATCTGCCTGGTCATTCAACTTGGCGATTTTCGCAGAGCGTTCCTCGCTGCCGTCAGGCGAGTCCATGTTCCAGTCTGTAATCTTGCCCAGCTTCCGATCGGTTTGTTCTCGGAGCACTTCGTAGATAAATTGCATCTGCATCTCGTTATAGACCATCATCATCCGTTGCTGGCGCATCTGATCGACACAGTCGAAGACAGGGTCGATATCTCGATTTTCCATATCCAACAGATGTCCTGACTCCAGCTCGCATAGCAAATGGTCAAGGGCGATGAAAGTTCCTGTCCGACCAACCCCTGCACTGCAGTGAACGATTCGCGGATTATCCGGGCTGGATTTGGATGCTGACAACTTGATCAAGTCGAGAAGGGCTTGGCGATCGCTGCCTTCGGGTTTAGAGTAATCAGCCCAGCCAGCGAAAAGGAAATGCCAGACAATCTTTGACTCCGAACCGATGGCCAGTTCGAGTTTGCGGATTTCAGATCGTGATGTGGCGTCGAAGGTTGATTCTAATAAGGTAACCCTACCCAAGACACCGGGTTCTGTTTGCTCACTCTCAACGAAGAAAACGTCCGACTCATCCGCCGATAGTACCATCGAAGCCTCCTCTGTCCCCAATGGGAAGTATTGAGCGCACTTTTCCCGGCCCGCTTCAAAAGTCTGAGTAAGCATCACAATCACGCCGACCTCCTGGCTTTCATGGAAGACCATGTGCCAAAAGTCCGCAATATGTCCCGGTTTGGGGCCCTGGTTAATGGTAAGCAAATCATATATTATGATTTAGAATGCGCAAACCTACCTGGGTCGCGATATATTTCCTTGTTTCCCGTGTCACCGAGTCTTCCAGTCTGATCGGAGATGCGTTGATAAAATCACACTCGCCCTCGGGCACCCGCAGATGGATCCGACAATTTGCCCACGCCTGGACATTATAATATCGATTCCTCTCTTTAACTCTTGGATCTGTCTCTAAGGCCCAGCGATGTGAGAGATCACTGGTTTGCAAACCCTCGGCCACTCGTGCGCGCTGAATCCATTCCAGATCCTCAAACTTATCATGGATCTCTGCATAAGGAAGCGGTCAGTCACATTCCACGTGCAGGTTGTATTCTCCGATAGGCGTTTTATGCACCCCTCACTCACCCGAGACAGATTGACACAGGAACGGCGGAACATCTTCCGTATTCCCAGCTTCCAGCTTGGGGTTGTCCAGATCCGCACCAAGTATATCGAGGCCCGCATCGTCATTCTCGGGCAGTCCGCGTTTGGTCGCCTGGACACTGGTGTCGATCTTGATAGTCGGCGCCATCTTGGCGACCGCGATCCGTTGAAATGCTCGGACTTTACCGATGACACCGCGCGCTTTCCTCGAGACGGATTTGGCTTTGGAATGTTTTTTGTGCGGGGCAGATCCGAATGAAGGAGACGGCGAACGAGACGGATCGGTCCTGATGCTATCAAAATCCGCAGACACTGATGTTATCTGCAGTGATGACAGATCGGGACAGCTATAGAAGCTGTCCCGGGAAGACGTGTCCAGGGCCAGATTTTTTGAGGATCGCGGGGGTTGGGCGTCGAGGAAGTGGAGGAGAGCGTCGCAATAAAACCCTATAGGTTACAAGGCCGTTTACTCCCGAGTTCACCTGACAAGTTAAAAAGCGCCCAAGGCAAAAATGAAAAGTCAAAGAGAATGAGAAGAGTAAAAAAAAAAAGAAAAAAATCAAGTTGAAGCGGGCTAAAAGGAGAGAAAGTGGAGGGGCGAGAAACAAAACATCCCGAGGTCTCCGAGTACTTTATAGTATAAGTTATATATAGTTATAAAAGATCTAACTAATATGAAGTCAGAAAACATTTGAATTTATGTTTTCATCTTTGTTTAGTGCTATTTTAGGGCTTGATAATTGGCTTGCCACCTAAATTCAGCTGCTTGCGGTCTCCCACATCCTATTAATATTTAAATGTATACAACATAAAGAAGTTGTAAATGTTGATAGAAACGGTCTAGGATCTGATCTATTCTATTTTACCCCTTTATGACTTTGTATCACTTGATTTTCTATACTCTTTTCTAGCGGGGAAAGCCGAAGTACTCTGTTTATTCTCTTTCTTTCTTTCCACTCTTTCTACTCTTTCTACTCTCTTTCTACTCTTCTACTCTCTACTCATATTCTCTCTATTTCTTTCTACCTTCCAATATCCCTCGGTCTCGGATGCCGCCCTCTTATGTTGACAGGTGTTGAGCACCGGTTCGCATACGTCAACAAACCCAGAAATGGTCTCCCAAGCTCAGATCGTTGATCGCACAACCCAAAGCACGGCTTCCCTCGTGTCGCGTCCGAGCAGACGACATCGTTCCGGTCGTTCACACCATGGCGGCTCCTCGCATTCCTCCTCGAACGATTTCCCCATCTTCACCTATACAGGTGACACCGAGGTCGTGATTCGCGCCGGATCGCAGGAAAAGCGTTATCTCCTCCACCGATTGATATTGTCACAATGCTCGGGCTTCTTTGAGGCGAGCACCAATGAGGAATGGTCGCGGCAGATGGCTTTGGCTCCGTCCAAGCCGGACGGGACGTTGTCGCGACTGAGCGAGGACGATGATTTGTCCAACGGGTCAACACTGGCACCCTCTGATAACGGTGGACTCTCGACGCGGCCAGGAGAAAAGAGACGTTGGCGGTATGAACTTGACTGGGAGAATCGCGCCGAGGATGAAGAGGCGATTCTGGTCCAAAAGGTAGGCCTTGCGCCGGCGCGTCGCATAATCTCATCTTTACGAACAATGCTAATGTCGCGTGTCGAAACAGCAACCAACCTACGCCCCCATGTTCAGTGGCGATGGTGACCAAGCTGCTTTTCCCCCGACGATGACCAAACCATCCAACGCCCAGGCAGGCTTCTTTCGATCTATGGCGAACCTAGCAGGAATGCAGTCGGTAGCCCACTTACCGCAGACGGGGGAGCACGCTGTCGCCGTGGATCCCTTAATACGTGACTATGACAATCTACTACGAATCTTTTACAATCATGCCCCCATTATCAACAGTGTCAATATCGCCTCGGCATATACAGAGTGCAAATCCCTCCTCGCGTTAGCGGATATGTACGACGCGCTTCCGGTGACAGGGCCCCGCGTTGACCACCACCTCCTCGGCTTTGGATCTCGTCTATTCAAACAAATAGCCAAATACCCACCCAGCTACCTGAAGCTGGGATATCTCGCCCGCAGCCGGGTGATCTTCTCCGAAGCCTTGATCCACGTCGTCGGCCAGTGGCCCGCCGCTCTACCAAGTTTGCGAAGCGGCTCCTACGCGCCTCTACCAGACTCACTCCTAGATCTGATCGAAGACAAAGTAGAAGATCTTGACGAGCTCAAAGCTCGCGTTGAATCCAAGCTCTTGCGTCTATCCCTAACTACCTCGCGCGGCGAACGTGTCGGCCCCTCAAACGCATACCTAGACTGGCTCGCCGTATGTCTATTCCGCCAATGGCTGATAGAAAGCACCACACCACCACCAGCTCCCATCCTCAAAAACTCGGGCCCAAACGATGGTCCCACCCAGCCTACCGCGTCAGCGTCACACCCGACAGCAACGCCGCGATCAACCACCTCTCCAGACCCGTCTGCGCGCATCTATAGATTGATCGGCTCCTCTTCCGCGCAGGCATACCTGCCCCACGAAGAGCTAAAGCGCTTCCTTAAACTCCATCCTACATCCTCTGCCGGCTCGCTTTACACGCGCGAGACCCTGAAACGTTTCGAGCGCAAGATGGACGAGATGAAACGGCTGGCACGGGATATCGTCAAGCCACTCATGCGTAATTTCCTCGAGTTGGAGCTGAAAAGTCCGGATCAAGCAACCACTGGCACCGCTGGTCCCCGTGAGAATATTCCGGTGGGGTTGCCATATCTGACATGCACCCGTGTTGAAGAGATAGATCTACCTTGGAAATGAGCCGGACAACTTCTTGGGATCTATCTATTTGGCTTACATGCTGTCCCTAATCGTCATGTTTTTGAATATCTCTGTCCTACTCGGAGTTTTCGAGAGCGTTTGGTTGTTTCTTTTTTTTATTTGCGCCTTTCCTCAGGCTGCTGGTCTTGTCTGACGAAAGAGACCGGATTGTACTCTTGTCTCTGTGATTTGCAATGATGTGATGTATACTTGATTTATATTTTGTTCCTGATTCATGTGTTCACGATGTCATGAATGGCTCTGCCTCTGATTTGTTCTGTTCTGTTTTTATTTAATATTCTGCTCTATCCTGTCCTCAATAAGGCACGGGTCGGAGGTTTTAAGACCTCATTTTTGTCTATGTTTTAGAGATACCAAAAAATCACACGCAATGCTATGCAAGATTCACGAAGATAACCACATATCCTTATGTTACAGGTAGCTCAATGAAGCAGACTCGTGATATATGAAGTATATGTCTACCACTTATCTAAAAAGTACATAATATACAGTATCTCCACGACGAGAGCGAGAGCAATCAGCCCTTTCATCTAGCTCCGCCCAATGACCTCCATCCCATCCATCCAAGGCCGCAAAACCTCAGGAATAACAACAACACCCCGCTCAGCATCCCACCCATTCTCCAAAATCGCAGCCAACACACGCGGAACAGCCATAGCAGTCCCATTAACCGTATGCGGGAACCTTGACTCCTTAGCGCCACCGCCACGCACTCTCGCCGCCAACCGACGACTCTGGTAATCCGTGCAAATAGAAGCAGAAGTAACCTCACCCCAAGCCGACTCCAGATGATGAATTTCAGGATCAACCGGCGTAGCAGTACTCGACGCGCGCAGACGAGACGGGAACAGCGCCTCGATATCCCGCTTACGGGTCGCGCTAGCCCCCAGATCCCCACTCGGCATCTCCAGCACACGACACGGCAGATGCAGCGCGGTCAGGATCTCCGTCTGCATTTCCAGCAACTCGTTGAACATATCGTCCGAGCTCGGTACGGCCCCGTCCACGTTATCCGTCCAGCCGAACAGCTCGACCTTGGTGAACTCGTGCACGCGGTACAGGCCCTTCGTGTCGACGCCACGGGAACCCGCCTCGGCACGGTAGCAGCGGCTCGCGCCGACGAGCTTAATCGGTAGCTCGGAGGCGTTGATGTCGCGTCCGGCGTACATGGCCGCTAGAGGGATCTCGGCGGTGCCGGTTAGCGAGCGTTGGGGTTTGGTGTTTTTATCGCGCTCGTTCTGCTCGATGGACCAGATCTGCTGCTCGTTGTGCTGGTCACGCGGCTGGAACCCGCATGCTTCGGCGATGTAGGAGTAGACGATTGAGGGCGGTGCGACGGTTTTCCAGCCTCGGCGGCGGGCTGTGCTTAGCGCGTACTGGACAAGTGCTTGTTCTAGCATTGCGCCTTCGTTTATCAGGAAGTACCAGCCCCATCCTGTTGTTGTGGCTGAGCTGGCGAAGTCGAGGAGGTTCAGCTCTGTGCCGATTGCAACGTGGGACCGGGCTTGCAGCTCGGTTTGGGATTGGTGGGTCCAGGAGGGGGTTCTTCGGGGTTGAAGTTGATGTATTGTACGAGAGTTGGGTCGTGTCCGATGGGTGTGAATTGGGAGGAGAGGTTTGGGAGAGCGAGGGCTAGTCGGTTGATCTCTTCGGTGCAGGTTGCTTTGCGTTCTGTCATGGACTGTGAGTCGTCCTTTAGGCGCTGGGCTTCTGACTTGAGTTCGGCCAGTCCCTCGCTTGGACTTGGGCTCTTCTCATTCGTGTTTCCATCTGCATCTTGCCGAGTCGCAATGTGTAGTTTGGCGATGGTCTTTTCTAGTTGCTTGATGCGGGATCGAGGGGTTTTCAGGTCATGATCGAGTTGTCTAGCCTCCTCTGATAATTGTTGAATTTTCGACGGATACCCGGCGTGACCTGCATAGTTGCGATCTATGCAGTTCTGTGCGTAGAGGTCGGCATTTTGGCGGATGTGTTTGACGTCCGGCGTGGGCTTCGGAGCTGTTGCGGGTCGCAAAATGTCTCGATTGCGTCGGGCGGAGGAGAAATTGCGCAGAGATGCTTTCAATCCATTTGAATGCCTGCAATTGAAGCAGACGTATGATGTGAGTGCCATTGGAGTTGGAGAGAAAGAAGAGAAGAGGGAACAGGCCATAAGTGGATAGTGGATCACCCGCCTTAACCCTTTTTGGAGATCTGCATATCCTCCAGAGTATGCAACACCATTATCGTCAATGAAATTTACTGGGCTTGAAATCAGTAATTTGATATATGTCGATAAATAATACACTTAAGGGTGCTCATCGCGAAAATGTACGAAGACAGACATACCGGGGCGTCACGTACCAAGAGCCAGGAAGCTCCGAGTAGACGACATCTATCCAAATCTCACACGATCATACTCATTGCATGTCTGTCAGGAATGAAGACCGGTCAGAAGATGAGCGTTCTCTATCTACCGTCCTTCAGGCAATGACCATGCAGATTCCCACTACGTTGATGACAAGTTGATCAACGTCGAGATCCATCGACCGGACAAGACTGGGCTGTTCTCCGCAGAGCTATAGCAATACTCCCAGATTATCCTTCAAATCTAGAGCATCCTCCAGGTTCTATCATAGGAGTCAGGTCCTTCCGCGACACGTCCACAACTTGAGGTTCATCCTCAACGAAAAGGCCATGCCACCGTATCTTTAGTGTGAGGGAATAGCAATGCAGATTCAACATCCAGACTCGGCGCCACTCATACTAGGATAAAGCAGTAAAACATGCTCCCAGATAATCCTCGCCACCTCTTCTGGCTCCAGATGAGTCACATTGATCTTCAGAAACTCCTTCCTATCGCTAAACTCGAAAACTGATCCCCTGCGAAACGTCTTCAAAAGCTCCACATCCATAAGCTTTGCATGTTTTTCACGCTCCGACTGCGTCATCCGCTTGATATTCTCATCTTCATCGCAATTCAGAACAATCGGAATCAGTAGACAGCCTCGATCTTTCGCGGCCTGCGCATATTCTGCGCAAACACTGACACCTTGTTCATTTGTTGTTTGAAAGTCAGTGAACAGATAGGTTGTATTGAAAGTTGCAGGCTCAGTCGCTAGGGACGTGAAGATCGCGGCGCGAAGAGCATGCCGAAGAGATTGGTACCCTGGTTGGGTGCGGTGAAGAACAGCGTCCGCGGGATTGATGAGAAGGTGGTTGTGGACTAGCTTTATATTTGCTGAGTAGGCGACACGCGCGACAAGATGTTGGGCAACTGTCAACTTCCCAGCGCCGGGGAAGCCATTGATGTGGATGAGGGGATGGGGTATTGTTCCGGGCATGTTGACAGGGGTGATGTTGCTAACTCGGTCACAAACTAGGGAGGAGGATGGGGAGAAGAGACAAGCTCTACAAACTAACTAGTTAGCTAACTAACTAACAACTTGAGCTACTAGCCTAGAGCCTCAGGCACCCATCTCATAGATGTAACTACATAGTTCACTTCTTCGTCTTTCAGGTTCATTTGTTGACAGCGGAATTCTTAAGATCTAATTATCCAAGGCCTCAGGGCAGTCAAATTACGTACGCCACAAAGTGTTTCAATTTCCCCGTGCCGAGGCATGTGGACAAGTATATGGAGTTGTTTAGCTTCAGTCATTTGACTTTATTTCCGAATTTTTGACAAGACCTCCACTATTCGGACAAATAATCGCACCAGTAGTCCCCTTATCGTTTGAAAGCCAAGCAAAAGTACTGTGCATATTGGATTATTATATAGCTTTAGTGAGCTAACTCTACTTCCCGAGGTCGGCGATCTACCCGGCTATGTGTATCCCCACTGTGGTCCAAAGGCTTAGTCTCATTATCGGAGGTCACCGTGTATATGGGACTTTATGGGAAGCATCCTTCGAAACTGTTTGGATCATATTATTCAATGGGAAAGTCGAAGAACTCAATCTACTTGCTTAACTGTAAAAGTGTAGCTTTTATCAAAGACTTTTGTATTGAAGCCAATTTAATTTTATCACTACAACATAACTACCATAGGGGCTATTTATTTGGTAGATATTAATTATATGTCTAATCCGTACAGGATTCAACTGTCTTAGGTAGTCCTTTGTATTCTATGTAAAATATACAAAGAAATGGACTCGACCAGGCCTTTTGCCTTAGACCTCCACCTAGGGCACATGTGTAGCGCGTATTAATAGATTGGATCGGGTAAATACTCCGTATCTATGACCCTAGCAACTAACACTAGAACAAAAAAACAAAAGCACCGTGTCCTGGGGGCCAAAATAAAACTCCTCTCTTGACAGAGGACTCCGTACTGATAGGACAAAAGGACCTCTTAGTCTGCATGGGGTAAGCTAGCGTGAGTCGAACGGCTGAGACACATATTGGTGGTTAGTCACCTATGGGGTATTCCAAGGTTGGGTCAAAGCATCAAACTTTCCACACATCCTTGTCCCTTGCCGGGCTATTTGATGTCGTATTCCTTCCAGAAGACTATCCGAGGCACACATTAGCGCCTACCATACAACCTCCTCACAGTGCATGGTGTGATGTGCTCTCACGAGGGGTGTAGTTTGAGTCCTGAAAGACATGCATGATAGCTCGTGCTTGGCTCTGATCCACAGTAAGCAAAGGTCAAGTGTAGACAGTAACAAAAACCCACCAAGTAATGCAGTTGATGAGACGGAGCCATATAGATGTGCCTATTTGGTCTGACACTCCGTGAACGGAATGATGCACATCCATTTGGATGACCTGTTGGTTGGTCAAGCCAATCATAGCTTCTCCCATTATATTTTGTCACATGTGAGTAATATGAGCTACTTAGAGTTAAATGAACGGGACTCGCCAGGAAAAGAGTTTGTTAGTGTTGTTGATATACCGTTGTATCCGACCCAAGTCATCTCGATAATCACTAACACTGCCAGCAGGGCAAATATTGTAATGGATAGCGCCTACTGCCAGATATTAGATCAAGCTCCCCACCTAGGACCTCAATTATTAGATGGGAATAGAAACCCGCACTCTTCTGGATGATTATCTGTCTCCAATGAATCGGGTGAATCGGAGCATGGTGAGTATTGAACTCTGAGTGTCATATTTTCTGTCTCGGGCCGATTCTACCATGTAAATTCGACCTCGATAAAGCAAGACAATATGGAGTAGACATGGTTTATATCGCCAATCACTATCAAGGGAGACTACAACCGGAAAGAATGTCGAGTGACGGGCCTTGCATGATCGCTACCACGGATTCAAAAATTGCAAATGAATAGATTGGAGCCGAGAGAAACAAAATCAAGCTAAGCAGAAGCCAATGCCCCTAAACAGTAATTCCCACGGAGAGTCCCGCTTATACAAAGAGTTTACTCTGTAAGGACAAGTGGATGCATACCGTCGGTGGTCCGGCCCCATAAGACCTTCACGAGACCGTGCTATGAGGCCATAAATATAACTATATCCCTACAAGGTACCCCTGTATTTTGATATGCACCATGTCATTTGATTTTGACGCTCTGCACCATTTCGAAATCTCCCAGGACCAATACAATGGCGATTCATGGCCCGACGATGCGTGGCCAGATGAACTGGTCACCTTGAACGATGTCAACCCTGCCGATCTATCACATCTGGACCCTAATTTCGATCTCCTCTGGTCCCAAATAAATGAAGATGGTCTTTACTCCACAGTTGGTTCTTCTGAACTCCCATCTCTCTACGCACCGACCTCCTTGGCTCCTCCATCAGAAGCCAGTTTACAACCCTGGAAGCCTTCCGATATCTATGAAATAGGCTACCAAGACAATAATGGTGACTGGCGCTGTAACTACTCCGGATGCCTCTCTAATCACGTCTTTCTGCGGGCCTGCGACCTACGAAAGCATTACCGTTCCCATCAGAAAACTTACTTCTGCGAGGAACAGGACTGTGAGTGGTCGAAAATCGGGTTCTCGTCGAGTAAGGATTGTCAACGGCATATGCGGTCTCATCGGCCGATGATCAAATGCTCTGCGGCAGAATCACTGGGTTGTGAGCGGGTGTTCAGTCGAATTGGTATGTTGTTTCTTATACCTATGTGTTTTTCCTATATTCCTCATTTCGTACTACCCCAGTGCTAATTTATGAAGATAATATGGTATGCTACCCTGATCGCATCTCGATTTTCTAAAAAATTAAGGTCTTGACCGGCATACTAATGGGATCGATTACGGATCCACAGAAAGATCATTATCGCAAGATCCATGAGTCTTCGCAGAATAATGTGTCTCGTCTTTGCAGGCCCAGTACCAGAAAGAAAGACGATGTCTCTAAGTCATCCGAGCTGGATGCTGCATGACCCGCATGAGGTAGCGGTGTACTATCCTTCATGAAACATGTGGCATAGAAGTGTGGAGAGGGAGCAAAGAGAATGATTAATGAATATCGCGAAGGAGATCACCACTGGTATATTTGGTTTGAGTTGGTGTGAAATGTAAATTTAGCCGTAAAGAATCATTTGAAAGCAAATTAGATTCGACCAACATCTATCTAGAGCTGTATAATATTTGCAGCTCATCTATAAGTATAGTCGTTCATAGGCTTGTTAATATCTTCGTTCGTAAAAGAGCAATGCTCCAGTCCCTCGCGCCGAGAGTCGACAACACTCCAATTCTGGGGCTTTGAGCGACTATAGCTACCCAAGTCGGACTGTTGTCGAGCCAAAACCTAATCATAATGACTTTTTTCCCTAGCCATCTAAGTGAAAGAAAATTAAGAAGTTCGAGAGGCGGAGGGGCTGTCCGCCATATTCATTAAACCTCGTATTCGCCCCTGCTACTCCACTATTTCAACCTCTGTATAGTCCAATAAATGTAGGCCTATCTGTAAGATCTACATCAGCATAACTCGTATTCGTAGCGAAACTACGAGTCCTGAGCCACGACTGCAACACCTTAGAAAGTCAAACACCCGACTCCCTTGAATGCCCACTCTTCTTGGATAGCAGACCCAAAACACTTTAAATGGACATTATAAGCATAATTCTAAGAATAATACCATACTTTCAGATGCCGTCTTTGGATCACTCTTCCGGGGATGATCCGGTCGACCCGGGAAACATTGCCTATCCCTATCAGTCTCGGTAATATCATTCTAGGAGTATGTATATCTTATGAAGGCCATTATACATACCCAAGTGACTTGAATTCGTTTAATGCATTAAGCATAGGCCGTGCGCCAAAAGCTTGGCAGGGACTAAAGAGGCCTGAGGGAGGTGTGTACGTTACCCACAAACATAGTATTGATCTGAATTTTGGGTTAATTTAGCTAGATTATAGAGCAGACGTTTTATGGACGTTGAAGTGCCGACTCCCAGAGCATACAAGGTGATTTAAGTCTGTCCTGACTCACTGAGCGGCTCACCGAGCCAACACTGTAGCCTGCGTTTATGTCGAAAACTTCATAAATCCCGTTTATAAATGATCTGTAGTGTTCCCAGCTCCCCTCTCAATCTCCATCTCACAGCCCCAATTTATGCTTCTTAATCCTCGCACCCACCCCGGCAAGTATCAAAACCACGGCAACAAGTACACCCCATAGAGGAATATGAATCGCCATCAAGTTGTAGTCGGTCTGCGTCGCCGCCACGACAGTCGCCATCTCCAACAGTAGCAAAACATAGCCGCTCCAGCGATGATACCTGTAAATGCGTTTTCCAGCGTCGACACTACCGAGGACGGTGACTGGGAAAAAGTACTGGATCACACCGACGACGGCTTGCAGCACGATAGTGATGTATGTAACCAGACCTAGAATACCGTGAGGCGAAACAAAGTGCGGATGCGAGCCTTTGTTAACCTCGATAATTACAAAGGCTGATACAAAAAGGACCACGCTCAGTAGTTGAAAGCTGTAGTGGATTCGAGTACCGGTTCGCTTCTGTTGCGCCGTGGCAGTTGGTTGCAAGACGAGAGCGGCTTGGACTTGGAGAAGAAGGGCAGATATACCGAGTAGCTGAGAATGTTTGTTAGTATCTTTTAGATATTTTGTGCAGTTATGCAGCTTACTGGATGCGGGGTGAATAAGGAGAAGGGTTGGGATAAGATGCCCTGCCAGACCAACGCGGCTAACTGTGTTGTTTGTTAGTTCTTTGATCATTTGAATTGTTAATGAATGCCCTCACAATCCAAATCCCTGCTTGAGCAATACTTGCTGTTCCTAAGTTTGGAGAGTCAGTCATGGGTTTTAGGCAGCGGCTATTACACCCACCTGTGAAGAGATTCCGATAAATATTCTCATCGGGTCTTTGTGTGACATCGCCTGGACGACCCAATAGAGGCTCATGGTCTTGCGGTATAATTGTGTCGGGGTGATCTTGCGGAATTCCTGTTGCCGAGGCCATTTTGGCGAGGTTGGAGTGATGAGAAAAAAAGAAGAAAAAAAAAGAAAATGAGACAAAGAAAACAAAGAAAATGATTCAAGGCGGTGGCTCAGTAATCCTTGCTTCTTGCTTTTTCCAAATTATCCTGCATCAAGTACTCTGTACAATCGAATTCTTTGACGTGATCGTCGCTTTCAATGACGATAACATCCGCATATTCCCGGCTGAGATACCGGGGATTGCATTTCAAAACTTGGCAAGAATAAAGAACATATCTACATATATTTGGGCTATGTTACTCTGTTATTCTGTTTTTCTAAATTAATATTGAGTCTCACAAGTACGTGGCCATCTTACTATGCTAGTACTACACTACTATACTACACACAATTACCACCAAATTTCAACTGAATAACTCCATTGATCTATACATCTAAACAACTCTGAAAGTACCTAAAATCACAATCAAGGTCTAGGCTCAGGCGACGGGGCACCACTACGATCACCTCGATCCGGCCCAAGCATATACTGAGCATCCCGAGGGATACAAAAGTCCACAAAGAGCAACATACTCTCGATATCCCTAGCGACTCTGCGGGCATTGCCATTGTCACGATCGAGAGTATCAATAAGATATTCCAACCGTTCATGGAGCTTATTACACTTGGCTGTCCAACTAGAGTTGTCGAAGTTAAAATGAGCCTGTCCGGCCATTCTCAGGCTCGCAACTCGCCGCAGAAGAACATCCAGAGAATTGATAACCATCACCACGTTCCCCTCATAGTTTCTGTCCTTGAGAATGTGAATCTGAGCATGCAGAGTGGTCATAAAGTGGAAACGCTCCTCGTCGTATGTACCGTGAGCGGCGCGTCCAGCCATGGTGTCGATAGGAACTAGATGGTACTGAGTAGAGTGGATTGTGAGGCTTACCTGAGACTTGCGTTGTGGATTTGAGGTAAAGGTTCTTGAGCTGAGTGCTTGGAGGCTGACTAGTTGGTGGTGCAACCCGTCCCTTTTATGTCTTTGCAAAAGTCGTCGAGTAACTGGTCAAAAAGAAGCAAAGCAACAATGACTATTATCGGTTTCTTTATATCCCAAACATAGAACAATTAATTCGTTAATTTCCAAGGCGAAGGATTGATTTCCAATAAAGCAATTCTAGCACAAAGACGTATCATATTCTTTGTCATACAAGACACAGATCCAGTCTATATCCAGCCCTTTGGCATGGTATTCACCAAGGCATTGTCAGCACAGGCCCTTCTTCTCCAGACCCAACCCGACCAAAGACCACCTCCGCTCCCAAATTCCTCGGATCCAAGTTCATAACAATGTTGAACAAAGTACTACTTCGATTCGAGATATGACGTGATGGATCCTCCTGACAACATATCGACTGAGGCTGGTTATAAGTATCAGAGAAGACACTTTCTCGCAACAAATCAGGGGTAATATCATCTCCCTGAATGCCGGCCTCAATTAACCCCTGCGTCAATTCCCCGAGGCGCTCGAGTCGGATAGGTGACCCGGACAGCCACGGTGGCTCATTCACATAGCGATTCTCAAGAAAGTGATTGGTATGACCGATGATCCCCGATGCATCCTCGACGATATGCTTGTCTCCCACCGGCGATAGCTCAAGCCCCAAAGCCTTGGTACTATCTGCACAAAGGATATGCTGAGCAGAGGCAACGCCACCCAGAGACTGGAGGGTTTTCACGGCGTTGTCAACAGAAGTACTCTCCAAACACAACCGAAGCGCAACGTGAATTGGGAGCTTGCTACTCATCATTGGCTTAGCGCGGATTGCATTAAGACAAGTTCCGACACCGTTGGTATTGAACCCAATTTTGCCGACGATTCCTGCCTGGGGACTGTTAATTACCTGCCAGAATATATATAAACACACAGAAGAGTACTGACCTCGGTAACCATATAAATAGTAGGTTTTCCAACCTGCTCGATCGATACCATCGCTAGGTTCTTCCTGACAGTCGCCGTCCAGTCCCAGTTCTGCGAGAGTACTCGCGTCGTCTCGCTTTTCTTCCAGCATAATGACGTACAGCCATCGGAGAATCGTCCTAACGCTATCTCGCTTCGACAATTGAGCGCGACTATATCAAGAACATCTAGCCCGGCGCCCTCGGCGATACCCTCCATCTCCGTAAATAAATGAGGTGTCAGGTTCTGGAGTGTGGACTGGAATTCAGTTGCGACTTCACGCACATCTTTCCAGGCTAATTTTGAGGTGTGCTGGAACATGGTATCGTAGATAGATATCTGACTGTGGATTTGTTCTCGCAATGCGCGACCATGTTGTAGTCCGATCTGGTTTTAATTCTGAGTCAGTTGAAGTTCTTCTCATATGCAGGTGTTAGTATTGGAGAATGTACTTCTCGAGAAGTACCCTGGAGCTTAAGCTTGATTGGGTCATTTTCAGGCTGCATGTTGAATCTGTATAATATCAGCTATATAGATGATCAGAGTCAAGGGTATCGTCAGCTATTTAATTGACAGCCGAGCCGATCTTCCCCTCAGTTGGAGTCATTTGGGGTTGAGCCGATAAGATGACCTGCCCTCACTCTGACTATAATTAGAGATTTCATCGAATGGGAGTTTATGGTGTTATAAAGAATAGTGGTGATACAATAATCTCTAGTGTACCCCGATGTGTGGCTTGTCTCACAATACTTACTGCCTAGGTGTTATTAGTTGGTCAACAGAAGAATATATATAGTAGGCAAATCATTTATATTGGATATTTATCCTAATGAATCATCTATGCGTCTTTAATCAAATGCTTGAACAGTTTGTCCAAGTAATAAGCAGACTGCTTGGGATAGCGAGTCTTTTCTTCGGAATCAAAGTCGATAAATGTGCAACCGAAGCGATCCGCATATCCAGCGGCCCATTCTAAAAAAATATTAGTTATTGGTCAATTCATAAGAAAGCATCCACTTACCCCAGTTATCAGTGAATGTCCAAGCAAAGTAAGACCGAATGTCAACTCCGTCTTCCTTCACAGCCCGCGCCAACGCATTGCCGACATAGCCCTCAAAGAACCTGATGCGGAACTCATCATTAAGAACCTCAGGTGTGGGGGCCGTTTCACCCTTGGCGGTGGTACCGTTCTCAGTGATGTAAATCGGCATCTGGTATCGTTTATAGATCCAGTTCAACAACTTCCTGAATCCCACAGGCGCAGTGCGCAGCCACGGGGTATCACTTTCCTCACCACGAGACACGCCCTGTTTATTATTATCAAAGACCTCCACATTGCCCTTGTGGTCATTGATATCAGGCTCAGCGGTTCTGTGCTTCACGAAGAAAGTCGTGTAGCTATTCATGCCATAGAAATCCGAGCTCCCAAACACAAGCTTCCTTTCCTCCTCGGTGAACTTGGGCAATCTATCACCGAGCTGCGCCCGCATCGATGCAGGATAATCACCCGTCTTGTACAACGGATCCGCAAACCAGGAGATCTCAAACTCGCGCGCACGCTCAGCAGCCTCCTGGTCGAGCGGGTCCTCCTCATCCCACGCCTCAGACCAGTTACCGTGCAGTGTGATACCAATAGTTCCCTTCTGCTGGGGCTGGAACTCCTCACGGTACAAGCGCACAGCATGGCCGTGCGAGACGAGCTCAGTGTGCGCGACAGTGAAAGGCTCAGTAGACGAATCGCCTTCCTCATTTCGCTCACGGAAAGACGATCTGCCCGGCGCGTGCACGCCCGCTGCATACCCGGCAAGGGTATAGACACCTGGCTCATTGTAGGTGATCCAGTGCTTGACGCGGTCGCCGAAGCGCTCGAAGCAGACGCGGGCGTAGCGCACAAAGTCCGGCGTGTAGGCTTCCTGGTTCAACATTCCCCCGTACCGGTCTTCCAGGGCCTGGGGGATATCCCAGTGGAAGAGGGTGAGGAATGGGGTGATTCCATTGCGGAGGAGCTCATCGATGAGATCGGAGTAAAATTTGATGCCTTGCTCGTTGACGGGGTCGTTGGCGCCGCCGAGGGGGATGATACGGGCCCACGAGAGGGAGAAACGGTAGGCGTTTACACCGTAGGACTTCATGAGCGCCACATCTTCGCGGTAAAAGTCGTACGCTCGGACGGCGTCGTCGGCGTTGCTTCCATCGGCGACTTTGCCCGGGGTGTGGCCGAATGTATCCCAAATAGAGACACCCTTGCCATCCTTGTTCCAGGCGCCTTCTATTTGGGCTGCTGCTGTGGCGTAGCCGTGGAAGAAGTCAGGCCGAAGCACATCCTTGAGATCTTGCACTGAGTTCAAATCCATCTTGTCTGTGTTGTGGAATGAACAGGGGGGTGACAATTTTTATTTTTTTTGAGCTTGGAGCTCTCATAGAATATGCCCCGCAAAACATGTCCGGATAAAAGTGGCTCTTGAATTTACCCCGAGACTGGGGATATACGGTGTTTGCTCCGTGCCGGTTTAGGAAGTGCAGGACGCTATACAGGGGTATAGGGTGGGTAAAGTACAAAAGTACCTTCAGATATTAACAAAATATTAAAAGAAGCATCTTTCTTTTCATAATTGAAATCTATTCTAGTTGACCTTATGTTCACCACCACCGGTAATCTCTACTTGTGACTCATTGAAGTGAACAACCACCGTCTCACCACGCTCCGACAGTATAGTCAATCCACCTACAACACCATTTTCGAAATTAAATTGCAACTCGAATCCACCACGTGCCCGCACTCCCCGGATGGATCCAGTCCAGGCCTTCGGACATGCTGGAAGAATACGAATTACCCCAGGCTCATGGGATTGGACCAACATTTCGATAATACCCGCTCCCCCACCAAAGTTGCCATCGATCTGGAATGGAGGATGACTGTCCAATAGATTGGGGTAAGTAGACCGAGACAAAAGCATGTCTATGTGCTGGCTACATTCCTCGGCTTCGAGTAACCGTGCGTGTAAGTTGAGCAGCCACGCACGACTCCAGCCAGTATGGCCACCACCATGTTCCGCGCGACGACGTAGAACTACTCCGCACGCTTCTGCCAGTTGGGGGGTTTGTGCTGGAGTGATTGCATTTCCGGGATGTAGGGCCCACAGATGGGAGGTGTGACGGTGTCCGGGTTCCACTTCGGCGTAGTCGGTGGCCCATTCCTGTAGATACCCAGCAGGGGAAATCTGCATTGGTGGGAGACGGGACTTGGTAGCTTGAACTGCCGGAAGAAGGGAATCCTCGAGACCAAGTCTCTTTGCACAGGATTGGAAGGCGTCCAGGATAGCATCAATGATTTGGATATCGATCGTTGATCCTTCGCACAATACGCCCTTTTGTCCCTTGTGATCGTAGAAGGAGTTTTCCGGAGAAGCAGATGGGCTGGTGACAAGATATTCACCATTGGCATCTTCGATCAGGAAGTCGAGGAGGAACTCCACGCACCCGCGCAGGGTGGGGAACATCCGACGAAGGAACGCTTCATCGCATGTATATTGGAAATGATCCCAAATGTGGTAGCAGAGCCATGCACCACCAAGAGGCCAGATACTAGCCGGCATCCATCGATCGACGGGGGCTGTATCGGCCCAAATATCAGTGTTGGAATGGGCTGTCCATCCTCGACATCCGTACATGATCCGAGCGGTGGCTTGTCCGGGTTCAACCATGCGCTCCAGTAGATCAAACAGAGGAAGTTCACATTCTGACAGGTTACACACATTTGCAGACCAGTAGTTCATTTGAAGATTGACATTGGTGGTGAACCTGCATCCCCATGCCGGATGGAAAGATGGGTTCCAGATACCCTGGAGGTTTGCAGGAAGCGATTTGTGTCCATCCCGACTACATGATATCAGGAGATAACGATTGTAGTTGTGGTATAGTGCAATGAGGCCCGGATCTCGAGAAGTCTTTAGACGTTCGTCGGTTGGGATTTCAGCAGAGTCCGGCCCAAGTTGCAATTCCATTCGGTTGTACAAAGACTGGTAGTCCGCAACATGACGAGCGCGCAGATCCTCCAGTGAGAGACTCAATGCATTGTCTGCATCTTGCTTGGTTTGCCGATCAATGTCTTTGTGTCGGAAGGTAGTTTGCGCCGCGATAACCAGCAGTGTATCACTGGAATTCACCACCAGATTATTTCCAATCTTGGTAATTGTGCTGTCAGCGCTGTCGCAGCGAACTGATACACTGCAGCATGCTCGATTACTATTCTTGCCACCAGGGGTGACATGCATAGTAATGGAGTTGCTGGTAGTACTGAGATCGTCAAGCCATTCATGGGATTCAAATTCCAAGTCACTCATGCGCGTCAGACGAACGACAAACTCAGCCTTGCTCGACGACCGCAATCGGATCGCAAGTACATCATCCGGGTAACTGGCCAGGACTTCACGTTCGAAGTGAGCACCCTGGTACTCATAACTGACATGCGCAGTAGCACTCGTGACATCCAGTGAGCGTCGGTAGCCTGTAACCTGACTGGGATCATGTCCCAAATCCAAGAATAGGTTTCCGAGCGGCTCATAGTTCCGCTGGCTGATTGGGTTAGCGAAAAACGCCAGCTTGGCAATCTTCTCAGCTTCCGCATGGTTTTCCGCGCGTATAGCCTCTCTCAGACGCGGCAGATACTCGAGCGCGTCTTGTGGATTGCGATCTTGTGGTCCTCCATACCACACTGAATCCTCATTCAGCTGTAGCATTTCGGTATCGGTGCGTCCATATACCATAGCGCCCAAGCGCCCATTTCCGACTGGCAGGGCTGAATTCCAGTCCTCCGCAGGTTGTTGGTACCATATTTCCGACATGTTCAATAGTATTCAATAGGTCTGATCTGCTGGTCTGTGTTGGCTTGATGTAGAACAAGGCGGCAGTTCGGTCCGTCAGCCGCCGATTTTGAGTAGAACAGGCTGAAAGACTTTGAATCAGATAAACTCATAAGGAGCTAGGGCCTAGTAAAACGAGCAATAAATCCACCCGATTTGTCAAATGTAAAGGATTCCGGGTAATCCTGTTTAACAAGCGCCAGCTCTAACTGTTTCCCCGGCTGTTCCCCGGATTCCAGGCTAAATATCTCTCCCCAGATTATCATTGGCCTTGTGAGCTGGGGTTGATGCGACCATATAGGACTAGCGTTGGGGAAAGCTCGAAGCGAGACTCTCCAGTTTGACGCTAATGTCCCCCCACGATCGCATCTCACTGGTGGGAAATCCTTAGGGCAGATGGCGAGGAAAGATAATTCAGAATTGGCTTGCAAGATGTTCAACGTGACCATCATCATTCACCAATCATTGTCCATTCTTGCAGTTATATCACGCCACGAGTTAATCTGGCAAAGCTCATGTCTTCCCCGTGGCAAAACAGGTTGCGTTTGGATTCCGACCGGCAGTTTTGTCGCCCCCTAGCTTCCTGAGGCCTGACTCGAGGAAGCAGAAATACCCCGGCATATCCCGTTCTTGGCTGGATTTTGACTGCAGCTCAAGGGTTCTCGACCCCATACTTCTGGGATCATATCTTTACTCTATACCAATTCCATTCCAATAGAGTTCGCCAACGATGTCCAAGTCAGATACTGCCCACGTCGAGGCCGAGATGGGCAAGGCCGGGGATCTGGAATATGTTGAGGAGGTTGCCCTGGCACGGGTGACCGAGGAGGACCTGTGGAAATTGTCCCAGGATTCTCTGTCTCTCAACTCGTGGACCGGATTCCGTCTGTTTCTGATCATGTTTGTGCATGGTTGTAACCAAGCTGGATTTGGAATCGACTGGGGTGTCATCAGCGGTATCAATGCTATGCCAAGATGGCACGCCTACTTCGGTTTCGAGAACAGTGGTGGCACATATGGGTTGATCAACGCTCTGATGCAGATCGGTACCGTCTGCGGAGCTCCCTTCATGGGTTTGGCAGACGTGTTTGGTCGTCGCGCGATCAATTTCTCCGGCAATGCCATTGTCATCTTCGGAGCTCTTCTGCAAGGCCTCGCCGTGAATCTGCCGATGTTCATGGCCGGTCGATTCTTCTTGGGCTTTGGCTCTGCGCTCATGTCAAGCTCTCAGTACATTGGCGAGATTTCGCCTCTCCATCTGCGTGGTCTCATGGTCGGCTTTTTCGGTGCATGCTTCCAGGTCGGTAGTCTTGGTATGCTTGGTGCCATGATTGGACTTACCGAGTTGCCTGGCAATAACGCCTGGCGTATTCCTCTCATTCTGGAGTGTTTATTCCCCGCTATTGTTTGTTCGACCATCTACCTTATAACTCCGGAGTCGCCCCGTTATTATGTCTTGAAGGGCAATCGCGAAAAGGCCAAGGAAGTCGTCGCTAGGTACCACACCACTAGCGGCGACATCAACGAGCCCCTTGTCGAAATTGTTGTGAGACAGATGGAGGAATCTCTCGAGGCCGACACGACGGGCTACAGATCCTCATGGGATTATCGGGTCTTCTTCACCAAGGTGGCCCGTTACCGACTGCTGGTTTTGATTCTGTACTCGCTCTTCCAGCAATGGAATGGTGGTGGTATTATCACGTACTATGTGAGTTGCTAAACCAAACAGATACCTTCTCCACTCGCTAATGACTTTTTTTAGATGGCTCCTTCGTTGGAGCAACTTGGCATTACAAACGAGAAGAGCGTGCTCGGTGTCAACATTGGCACCACCGCAGTCTATTTCGTCTTTACGGCTGTTGGCGCGCTTATAGTCGACAAGTACCGCAGACGAACCCTGATATTTATTGGTCTGATCAGCATGATTATCTTCCAAACGGCTACGACGATCACATCGTGGCGATACGCCGTTGAACCCACTATTCCGGCGGCGGCATGCACTATCCTCTGGATCTTCCTCTACCAGACCTTCTCAGCGACATTTGTTGCAACCATGCACAACCTGTATCCGATTGAGATTCTCTCTCTACCACTTCGTGCCAAGGGAATGGGACTTTACGGTCTTATCCAAGGTGCTGCCGGAGCCGTGCAGTCTTACGGCATTGGCGTTGGTATCCAAAAGGTCGGGTATAAGATTTGGGTAGTGTACATTGTGTACAACTCAATCCAGCTCCTCTTGTCGTACTTGTTCTTCCCCGAGACAAGCGCTCTATCTCTGGAGGAGATTAATACCGTGTTTGAGACCCCAGGAATCCACCCCGTGAAGATGTCGTTGGATATTGAGAAGGCCAAGAAAGCAAGAGCAGCAGCCCAGGATGAGGAGGGCAGTGTTGATCGATAAATATTCAGTAGCAGAGAAGTTGTTATATTAAGGGAGAAGATAATATGATTTGATGTATATTTCCCGTCTTTGTTTCAGCTTCAAGCTCTGGTCTGGGTATTTGGCTTGAGTACAAACTTTAGAGCCATCTCAAAATCAATGCTTGATAAATGTAGGCAAGCTTCAAACCAATATTACACATAGATCTGACAAGTCAAATGCACAAGTGGAACAGTTGAAACGCGTCGGACCCGATATAACCTGCGCCTACCCGTCGGAGGGCCGCTTGTTCTGTTACACAATTTCCGTCTGTCTTCTCAAACGTATATGAGACACCATAAACACGAGATTTGAAATGTTTTATCCCTACCAACTTCCTAAAATGGTGTTGACTTCACCTCTAAGGTCAGATCTATAGACAATTGGTTGATATCAGATGATCTCATGAGCCCTAAAGCGCCCAGACTACCCTCAACCCCCTGTCCATTTCCCGCTGGGATACCTCATGGTATCCTTTTTCTTTTCTCCGAGACTTCATCGCAACCAGTCCAGAACGCAATAATGTCCCATAGGTCCCCTACATTTCCGCCTGCAGCGTTGCACAAACAAATCAGGTACCGAGTTAGGACCTTTTGCACTCGGATCCTTTTTTTAGCCCCCTCTCTTTAAGGGGCTATGGCATGACCCATTACAATCATGTGCTTAAGAAAAATAAAACGGTCAACGGGCTTTCTGCAGTCTGTGTCACAGATGACCTAGTGTAGTGCTCTGCAGCCCTAATATGGTTATCCCTGGAAGAATTGGATGGTGACGCAGGCCAAAACAAAGACAGAAAAAGACTACGTGGCTGAAGTATATATAGTTCAGCTGGTTGGTTTCCTTTTGATCCTTTGTACTGAAAACATATATATGTCTCCGGTTTTAGAAGAGAAAAGCTAATGGTGACAGTTGCCAAGTACTTATAGTCTGGGCCAGACACCGCATCGATACCAGGAATATCGAGAAGAATTCTGCTCATATTCTCTGCAGGTCTCGAAGGTTCGCAAAGTGGACAATAGCCCATATTAAGATCTTCATGAAGATCATGGAGGAGAGAGAGAGGACGGGTAAGGTGGAAATGACGGGCAGGCTACATCAACTCTATTTTTGTGTAATCCGGTTGCTTGCCTGTCTAATTGACCCTCGTGGCAAGCGTATAGAACTAAACTTCTTTTTTATTGTCTCTGTGAAGACATCCGGATCAGATTGTTTGGTGCAAACAACCAATTTGTCATATTAGCCGTCGAGATATAAAAAGATATGTACATAGTGAATATACAACACAATAGATGTAGACGTCTTCTAATCTACAGACCCTGATACACAGAGATGTGCGCACGGCCATACGGACCGAGACGGGACTGCATCTCCCGATACTCAACCCTTCCAGCAAAATTCCTAGAGTCATGCACGTCCGGTTGCGCGGTCTATACAAACATGGTGTCACCATGGCTTTTCCACTAGAAGTGCCAGGCAAGGCGGCAACTCAGATTGGCTCGGCTTCTCATCACGAGACAGATGGCACAGTCGCTAAAAAGCAAACGGGTCATCGCCGCTCAATACGGGATGTGCAAGGCCCTTCGAGTACCGTTCTCAGAGGCAATACGATTTTCTGAAGAAGTTGGGTTTTGTTGAATTCCTTATGTGCATGTGTCTTTTGATCTCCTTCTCTTTCCGGGATGGTTTGACTGTGGCCATGCCCCTTTTCTGCGCGTTAGGGAATTGAGTGTGATACATCTGGCATGTCGGGTATTGGACGTTGACAGTGAACATGGTCTTGTCATGATATAATTAATCGAGGTTTCCCTTGCCTTTTCCCGAGCTCTTTTGTCGGTCCTTAATTTGGCCCTTTTTTTCTTTTCGCCACTATATTTCTATGTTTGCTCCAGGCGTCCTCCAGGGACATTGCTCATGAATCACCCGCTTTGTCTTTGGGATATACATACTTCGTTCCTTTGAACATAATACCGTGCATATCGTCTTCCATCCCTTCCAAATCATACATTCCATTGCCAAACCACAGCTATTGAATAGTTTATTGTCTGCATCAACAAGCTATCTTCCTCTCTCGTGGTTCAGTCCAAGATGCCCCCGAAGAGTACACAAGACAACATGGTGCCCGAGGCAAAAGGAATCAAGTACGACGAATGCGAGATGGCACTCTTCCGCGCCAAACTATCATACCATGCCACGATTGACGAACGAATGGCCTCACAGAACTCAAACCTGACTTCGATTGCAGAAGCCCAGGCTCGAATCCTCAAGGGATGGGAAATACAGATGCAGGGCACAAAGGATTTGGCTGGCAAGAATGAAGGTCGCTCTGCAAGCGATAAGAGGGCAATGGCACAGTACGAGTGGAGATATACGGCCTTGGAGAATGCTGCGACAAAGACCACTGGGAAGGAATAACGACAAAAGTGCTCTTTTTTTTATTTCTTTTTATATTGCTGTTTGCGCCCATATTGAATGATACGAAGGCATTGCTGGCGTTGGTTTAGAAGCTTTATAGCTTAGTTTGATGTGATCATGCTGGAATACTATGTTGATTTTTCACTCTCTG